AATAATGCTGTTCCGACAGACAGCTCCGAGCATTATTGTCAAAAGTTAGGTAAAAGGGGTAATTAATTTGGCAGTAAATCGTTCACTGTTTTGGTGAGTCTGATCAGAATTGTAAAAAAAATTTTTTTGTTCCCCTAGAATACCCCCTCCCCAATGCTCCCTCCCCACCGCCACCCACCACTGCCACCTCCAACCCCCCATCTCTACTGTCTGTGTGAAAATGGAAATCTGTGCCACCAGTACAATATCCACATTATGTGCCTTGACTCAACATTGTTGCATGACATGCTTGATTGTGCCCCGGCGTATAGGAAGAGAAATGTGTCAACACACCATTAGCACATATTAAGGATTATCTTCCACTTGCAGTAGTGTGTGATGTGAGTTTCTAAAGTTTCTCAATTCTTTTTTTTTTATTTGAAAAAAACACATCTTAGATAACTGTAGAAAAACCTTGTTCTTATGCCTAAAAGAAGAAATGCAACAATTTCTGAAATCAAACTCACAGTAAATACATTTTATAAATATATTTAGTCATTTATTTTACTGCCACACACAAGCATGAAATCATCACAAGGAATCAAAGAGGATATGGGTTTCGTCACACTACTTTAACTCAACCATTCGACTTGTTTGTGCCCCGCTCAATGGCAATTTTTAAATAATAATGTTGCTTGAGGCTAAAGGTGCAATATGTTCTCAGTTATTACTGATGCTATATGACATTTGTGTACACTGATTCAGCTCATTGCATGTGTGGTTATATGTGATTATACTGTAATTATACAGTGGGATGCTTGCACGTTTCTCAGGATGTTTGTTTCTGGAGATGCAGCAATAACAGAAGAACAAAGTAGGTTAACAAAAAATTTAGTTTGATATTTAAATAGTTCTCTAATATCTCTAAAATTAGGCTCAACTCATATAAGACATTTGCCAGTGCATCTAAAATGGTATTCTCTGCAGTATCCTCATACACCAACTTAAATATAGTTGAGATTACTGTTAGAGGATAAGTGCAGGACTAGCGGGGTGCATGCATCTATGTGTCTCCTTCTTTCAGTCACATAAAAACACTCACACCAACTGCAAACTAGTACTTGCAAACAGATGGGAAGCCCATGCTCACAAAAGGAAAATAGAAAAACTCAGTCCAGACCAAACATAACATAAAATATAATGAGCGTGATGAGATTAGAGTAAAGAAAAGCTATTCTCCACAGTGAGCTCCACATATTTATGGATAATGCGCAATAATGTTATTTCCTGTAAACTCCTCTAAACCTGTGCTCTAGCAATGATGAATATTATATAATGAAAAGAGCTGAATAAAAAATTACAAGAATGTTTTTACCCAAAAGTAAAAATATTGTGGTGATTTAGCAGTGAATTTCCTTTGTTGTTTTGAGATCAAAGCATCTCTCAGAGAGGTGAGGCTGTCAGTAATAACTCAATGCTGCCACCTAGTGTCAGGACACTTTATGCTGTAAAAATATGAAAAAACAAACCATGACAGTTTTATTGGGTCTGTCAGCATGAGTTCATATTTACAACTGAGTTCTGAATTGGAGAATATGAAAAACATGAATATACAGAAAACAGAGCAGCTTTCAGAGCATTCAATTTTGAAGTGTAAAGATTTTTGCTTTGCTGATAAAAACATTAGCAAACGTTGCCTGAAGCATGAATCTGTACAATTATAACAAGTGTGTGATAGAAGCAATTCAGTGTGTGCAAGTGTATCAGTGTGAGTTATTGATGAGAACACATGGAGGTAAAACGAGATGCTCTCCTCTGCTGCAGATCTTACACACTCTCTCATCGATACCTCAGCCCCACCTGTCTAGCCATGAGCTCAGGGTTGAAACAGAGTTCAGCCAAGTTGAGGATTGTTCTTGTTTGTTTTATCAGTGGTGTGTACCATATTTCCCCATGAAATACTACAGCCGGCAAGAGATACTGCCAGGGGAGCAAGAAAACAATTGAACACGCATTAATGATTTACAGGTACATATCTGCTATAATGCCAACACAGACGGAGGTAACTGAGAGCGGGATCTGATGGCATCAATGATGCTGCCTCAGATAACACCTCAATCATCAACTATGTATGGATCTGGCAAAAGATGTAAGATGATGTCCCAGTGAGAGTCGACCATTTGTTTTGGTCTCATGGAAGAGGGACCAGGGTTGAGTCAGGGACCAATGATGGGTCAGAAAGACTCACATTTATCCAGGAGAAAGTTTTAAACAAGCGTGTGTGCATGCTCTGTGTCTACTGTTTTTATCAGTAATCAATACCTCAAAAATATCTTTATTTTCAATTATGCAAAACCAGTAAAACCTCACATTAGAGGAGCAGGAACAAGACACATATGTGACCCAGATGATAAATTGTAATTTTTAAAGTAGGTTCCTCAGGAACCTGCTTTTGAAGGAGTCCTGTGGGAATTTTAATCAATGAACTTGTGCCAATGCTCCAATGTCTAATCACTGAAGTTGTGTATGTTAAGGTTTGGGCTGTGCATGAAGTATGGTCTCATTTTCTCTTATTAGATAACTCCAGAAAAATGATAGTGTATTATAAAAAAAATTAAGACAGAATAAGGAAGAGGGAGAAAATAGAAGTAAAATAAATTGTAAGTCCATAAGAATATGTCAAAAACAGTTTTAATTCTAAGTGCCTTCTTTTTATGCTGTTGATGTAGTTCTTGATTTTAAAAAGCCAAAAGTGGTCCATCTTCCAAAAACAGTTGTATGAAGAATATAATATCTTAAACATGAAGAAAGTTTTTTTTATCCTGAAAATGAATTGTCTGGATGGAAATTCAGTGGTTTAGACTGGTTATAAGGCATCAAAGAGGAGATTTCAGATCAGTTTTGAAGCTTTATTTTGACATGGTGACTTGTGGATAAATCAGGTGAACAAATAGGTTCAAATCAGAATCTAGATTTTCCCAAAATATCCAAGTCAATACAGGAAGAACAAGCTAAGTCGAGCCAGTGGATAAGGTATAACCCCTGTATCTAGGTATCCATAAAAAAAAAAGTAATCACGTGACTACAAATTAAGGCAGTGTAGCAGATGGTACACTTTGACTCAAGCACATGGAGAGCGCAAACCAGAGCAAAAAAACTGTTGTCATGCAAAGTGAATTCATCATGTTACAAAGGTTGTCAGTCTTGTATCTTCATCAAAATAGATATGTTGTTGACATGATTACATGTTGATTTTAGTCACTGTAAGCTACAAAACAAGGCAACAGACTTAACATAACTGTTGATCTGAGCTACTGTTTGAAACACAAAATGGTGGTTGTGGGGTAAAACGAGCAGGTGATGAGTTAAATTAAACCAATGGTCAGTCATTGTTCACTGCATTCACACACGCACATGCACATACACACATACATAGACATGCATACATACACATACAAACTCTCTTTGTGTCACTGTAACAAGTTCACGCTGCTGTTTGATCACTGTTACAAGTGTTACAATGTGAATGTACTGAAAACATTGTTGACAAAAGTTATATTTAAGTCGCACAAACATGCTGTGTACACAAAGTACATGTACACATGTTCTTTCTGTAGCTAACACAAAGCTCACAGTTTAATCCTTTCCTAAAATGTTAAAGTAGCATGTTAAACAACAGAGGGCTCAATTTAACCCATTGCTACGATCATTTTTACCCCCACCTTGGGGTGAATTGTGTGAAAGGACCAACTTTATTGTTCTGAAACCATAATAATTAGATAACTTGTTTTAATTTCCACAGGTAACCTGAGGCATATACAGTCACTATTGTTTGAAACAAATACACTTCTGTTTTGCAGTAAAATCATCAAATGTAAAAGGTGGCTTATCTTACCCCATTCTCCCCCTACAGCTCTGAAACATGTCTAGATAAGTGAATCATAATTGTACTAAACTAAGTTGTGCTGCAGCTTAAATGTGAAGTTTTTTACTTTATTTACCATTAAAACAATAGACACAAACTTTGCGAAGTAAAAATTGCTTTGTTAATTACTTTTCTGTCAGTGTTTTGTCGTCCACCATCCTCACGGTAACCTGGCAAAGACTGAACTGCTGTAACAACACAGTTTAAGTAGAGGAGGCTGACTGATTGGACTGCACCATTCTGCTGTAGACTGAAGGGGGTGTTCTCAGGAGCTACCTTGATCTGGGCCACAGTTGTTTAAAGAAGACTGTCTTTTCTCCCCTGCAATAATCTATGGACTGGCACGCATGGACTATATAAACCTGTGGTCAAGAGTTAAGCTGTGTCATTTGTTCTGAGGAAAGTCAGTATGTTAAGGTCTGTTTAGTTGATTTATGAATGTATTTAAGTTCTGTAAATACTTTGGGTGAATAAAACCCTTGTTTTTCCACTAATCCCTGTTCTCCTAGTTTCTATGCTGACTCTGGTCCTTCACAAAAGTCCCATTGTCCTTATAGTTA